AAAAAATTGGATAGATCTCATATTAGTAACTTGATAGCACACCTGAAAGCTCTAGAACAACAACAACAAGATAACACTCAAAATAAGATAGCAAAAAAATAAACTAAGGGCTGAAGTCAATGAAATAGAAACAAAATAAATAAATACAAAGAATCAATGAAAGGAAGAGTTGATGCTTTTGAGAAAATCCATAAGATTGACAAGCCCATAGCTAAATTAACTAGTAGAAGGAAAGAGAAGATCCAGATTAATACAGTTAGAGATGGAAATGGGTCGTGACAGCAGACACTGATGAAATCGAGGGAATAATGATATTCTTTAAAAACCTGTAATCTACCCTAGAAAAACCTAAAAGAAATGGATGAATTTCTTGACATATCTGGCCTTCCAAAGTTAAATCAAGATCAGATAAGGAATTTAAACAGACCTATAACCCCTGATGAAATAGAAGCAGTAATTAAAAGTTTCCTGGTCCAAAAAGCTTAGGGAGAGAAGGATTCAGTGCAGAATTCTATTAAACCTTCAAAAAAGAAATGTCAATACTCCGTAAATTATTCTACAAAGTAGAAACAGAAGTAATATTCCCTAGTTTTTTTTTATGAAGCCACGATTACTCCAATACCTAAACTATACAAAGACCAACAAAATGAATTACAAACCAATATCCTTTATGAACACAGGTGCAAAAAAAATCAATAAAATACCTACAAACCAAATCTAAGAACACATCAAAGTTATTGTCCAATTGTCTGATCAACTTGGCTTCAACCCAGAGAGGCAGAGATGGTTCAGGATACATAAATCAATACACATAATGCACCACATAAACAGACCAAAAGATAAAAACCACATGATCATCTCATTCAATGCAGAAAGGCCTTTGACAAAACCCCATCATCCCTCTATGTTAAAAGTCCTGGAGAAACTAGGGAGACAAAGGACATACCTCAGTACAATAAGGTATGTTACAGCAATTCCACAGCCAGTGCCAATGTAATCAGAGAGAAACTCCAAGCATTTGACTGAAATGAAGAACAAGAGAAGACTGCCCACTCTCTCCACACCTATTCAATACAGTACTTGAAGTCTTAGCTAGAGCAATAAGACAACTGAAGGAGACCATGGAGATACAAAAAGAAAAAAAAAAGTCAGTGTTTTTTATTTGCAGATAATATGATTTTATATATAAAACATTGAAGAAATAAATTAGATACCAGAAGATGAATAGACTTCTCATGCTCATGGGTAGATGGGGTTAATGTAATGAAAATGGCCAGCTTACCAAAAGCAATCTGCAGACCCAACATGATTCCCATCAGAATTCCAACAGTTTTCTTTACAACATTGAAAAAACAATTTTTAGTTTCATATAGAAACTCAAAAAATACAAGGTAACTAAAGTAATATAACAATTCTGATTAATAAAATAACTATGAGAAATAATCACCACCTCTAATCTCAAGTAGGACTACAGAGCTGTATTAATAAAACATCATGGATTGGAAAAAAAACAGACATGTTGATTAGTGGAATTGAATTGACTCAGATTAAAGTCCGCACACCTATGGATACCTGATTTTTTTTAACAAAGAAACCAAAAGTGTACACACACACACACACACACACACACACACACACCAGCATCTTCAGCAAATGGTGCTGTCAAACCAGAAGGCTGCGTGTAGAAGAATGTAAATAGATCCATACGTACCACCCTTCATAAAACAACTCCCAGTGGACCTCAATATAAGGCCTGATTCTGATAAGAGAGGTGGGATAGTGTTGAACTCATGATACAGGAAAACACTTAACAAGACACTACTAGCACAGGCACTAATACCAGCAATAAATGGGACCTCATAAGACTGAAGAGCTTCTGTATAGCCAAGGACACTCGGTTGCCCAGAGCAGCAGGCTACACAATGTGAAAAGACCTGTATCAATTACATATCTAAGTATGTGTGTGTGAATCCCAGTTTGAAAATGGTGTACAGAACTAAACAGTTCTCAAAAGATGGAACACAAAATGGTTGAGAAGCACTTAAACGTTCAACATCCTTAGTCATCAGGGAAATGCAAATAAAAACTACTTTATGATTTCACCTTACACCGGTCACATTGGCCAAGAGCAATAAAACAAATGACAGCTTCTGCTTGTGAGGATGTGGGTTAGGGGAAACCCTTATTGCTGATGAGAGTACACAGTTGTCCTGCCACTGTGAAAATCAGCATGATGGTTCATCGGGAATCTGGAAATTGTTTCACTTTAAGATCCAGCTAGATCACTCTTGGGCATATACCCAAAGTACCTCTACATCCTACCACAGAGATACTTGTTCGTGGATATTCTAATCATAATAGCCACGATTTACAACAGCCAAGCTGTCCATCAACTGGTAAATGAATAATGAAATGTGATACATTTACAGGATGGAATATTCAGCTTGTTTTAAAAAGTTTTTAAATTTTCAGATAAATGGATGAATCTAGAAACCCAGACCCAAAGAGACAAATATTGTATGTTTTCTCTTATATGTGGATCTTAGCTTTTAAGCTTTCAATGTGTGTTCTACAGTCCATATAACCACAGAGGTTAGGTACCTAGTAGGGGACCGAGGGAAAGAGGGGATCTCCCAGGGAAGGGAATCTAGGATATATTGTTATAAAGGAACACTGGTAAGAGGGAGCTCTCCTGGGGTGGGAGAACTAAATAGGAAGAGGAAAGAAGAGAAGTGAGGGAGGTGTGGGGAGGGACAACTGACACTAAGAACCACTTGAGGGGCCATATGGAAACCTACTACTATAGAAGCTTCTTCAAATAAATACATATATGAAAGAAATCAAAGTGGTGTCCTCAAATAAGAGACAATGCCCCAACTAGAATCTAATGCCACCAAGTAAAACCTCCAGTCCCAGGAATAGGTTACATATATTCAAATCATTGGCCAAAGTGACACGAAAGAAATTGCCACGAAACATCTCAGGCTATTGCCAAAGCTATTTGATGTTTTCCAAAACCGTTGGTAAGTCCCTGTTGCTGATATAGCACTTACGTGATTCCATCAAACATGGAAAAGTAGAGCTGGTGCCTAACGAGAGGCTTCATCCTGAATGCCTGGTGTTCGTGGTACTGGAAAGTATTCATTCATGCTACCAGAGGAGAAAGGTAACTATCAACCCAGCTACAAACCCTGTAATCTGTAACAGTGATCTGCCAGCAACATATGCTGGTATAATAGTAGCAAAACCATCTGGAAGTAACCCACCACTCTGACTGGACGTAAACACACTCCATGACATGGAACCTGTATCTGACACCTCTGTTGTGGCCAAGAACCCTAGACTAGATAGGCCATGGGCCTAACGGAAAGCCTAATATTACTGTTCTAAAGCTGTGGTCCTCAGCCTTCCTAGTGCTGTGACCCTTTAATACAGTTCCTCATGTTGTGGTGACCTGAGCCATAAAAGTCATTTTTATGTTACTTCATAACCATAACATTGCTACTGTTGTGAATTGTAAATATCTGTGCTTTCCAGTGGTCTTAGGTGACTCCTGTAAAAGGGTTATTCAGCCACCAAAGGGGTTGTGACTCACAGGTTGAGGACCGCTGTTCTAACCAAATCTTATATAAAGCAATATAATATCTCCTAATAACATTCTGCTATACCCATAGATGAGTCTCTACTTCAGCCATCATCAGAGAAACAACTCTGTGCAGTAGATGGGAGCTCTACAGAGAACTGGAGCTGGACAGTATGCAGAAAGTAAAAGATTTTAGAGCAGTTGTAAATGGATGTCTTCATCAAATCATTAACTTAAGACTCGGGGGACTATGCAGAAGACAGGCAGAAGGGATGTAGGAGCTAGAGGGGATAGACGACTCCAAGGAAACAGGGCCCTCCAATCAGGACCGACTCACATATAAATTCAGAGAGACTGTGGCCACACACACTGCCTGTATAGGTTCAAGCCTAGATGGTCCCACTGCTGAGAAGGGGAATAGGACCTGAGTCCCCAACCCTCACCAAGAAGCTATCTATACTTGATAGCTCCTTGCAACTGAAAATATATTTTCCCCAATGGACTTTCACTGGGTGTATTCACCATACTTCAGGTAGGCCCCACACCCAGCAGTAGGGGTGTGTGTGTGTGTGTGTGTGTGTGATCCTAAGTTTTTTGTTTGATTGGCATTTTTTGTTTGGTTTTTAATGACAGAATGAAAAGGTATGAATTTGGGTGGGTGAGGAGCACATAAAAAAAACTTTTCTATAGAAAAAAATGAGGTTTGGACTTGGGTGTTTTTTTTTTTTTAAACAAATGTGTAGTCATTTTCCAGCAAATTTGTGTTAGCAGACATGTTCTGAGACCCCTCTTTTTGTATCTAGAGTAGTAACATCTGTCTTTCAGGGCTATGTAGCATGTATACGTAGGGTAGCAAACAGTGTAGCTGGCACAGAACATGCAGGAAATGTTCATTCCTTGTCTCCAAAAAAGATAGAAAGCTTAGGGTAGTAATGGCAAGAATTTGAGTAGGTTTCGTTTTGGTTTTGGTTGTGGGGGTGTTCAAGACAGGGTTTCTCTGTGTAACCCTGGCTCTCCTGGACATAACTTTGTACACCAGGCCAGCCTCGAACTCAGAGATCTACCTGCCTTTGCTTCCCAAGTGCTAGGATTAAAGAAATGCAGTACTACCTCCAGCTGAGGAGTAATTTTTCAAGAACTAAGAAATGTTTTTGTTTTTTTTCCAGACAGGATTGCATGTAGCTTGAACTAGCCTCAAATTTATTAAATAGCTGAGGATGACCTTGAGCTTCTGATTTTTTCTTCCGTGCCTCCCTAGTGCTAAGATTCCAAGTGTGTGCCACCTCTCTCGGATGCTATGCTGGGGACTGGACCTAGAGCCTCTTGCATGCTATGCACGAACTCTACTTAATGGTTGTTATCTCCAGTACTTCTGTGGATACTTTTAAGAGCAATATGTATTTGTGTGCCTTTGCAGATAATAAGGAAGAAATTACTGTGTTTGCATCATGGATAACACAAAGGAGAAGGACAACAACTTCAAAGACGACCTTCTGCTCCGGATGGGACTAAATGATAACAAGGCAGGAATGGAAGGGTTGGATAAGGAGAAAATTAACAAAATTATCATGGAAGCCACAAAGGTATGTTCTCAATTCTTTCAATATCTATGATTTACTCAGTATAAAACCATTAAATTTGATTTACTCTCCTTTTCATTCATTAAAAATATTTTAATATAGCATTAAGCTATGAAACGTGTACATACCTTTCAAATCTGTTGTTCTTGCTACCAAGCTTTCTACTTTGAATTTGTATAATATGCATATAAAAGCAAAAGAATGTACATGGTTTTTTCCTCTTTTTCTTTTCCCCCATGTAAATGAATATTATAATTGGATGGGGGATTATGCTTGCATATGTGGATGTAGTTTATTGATCAAATCAGAATTGTTACTGATTGACAAATAAGTCATTCTTATTTTTTGTTTTTATAAACAGTACTTCAGTGAGTTTGCTTTTTTTTTTCTTTTTTTTTTTTTTTGAGGCAGGGTCTCACTGTATAGCCCTGGCTGTCCTGGCAGTCATTATGTAAACCAAACTGGCCTTAAATTCATAGAGACCTGCCTGCCTTTGCTGGGATAAAGGCGTGTGCCACCGTGCCCCGCTCACACTTACTAATCTTATATGTGTGCAAGTGCAACTGTAGAAGAGATATCTAGAAATGGAATTGCTCGATAGAATACAGATAACATGTATGCAATTTTTATGAGTTGCTAAATAAAGAACCACTCTGTCTATTTATATCTCTCCCTCCATTATTTGAATTTATATATCACCATATCAAAACTGTAAGACAAGACTGTGTTTCTGAATGTTAAGATTTGCCGAGTTGAGGTAATCATTTAGCACCAACAACTCAGTCAAAAAATGGTCAAATGATATGAATAGGCATTTAAGTGAGGAAGATGCGCACATGTCTCAAACATGAAAAGATGCTCAACATCAGTAGTCACTAGAGAAGGCAACTTTAAAAATCTGGGAGAGGGCTGGAGAGATGGCTCAGTGGTTAAGAGCACTGACTGCTCTGCCAGAGGTCCTGAGTTCAATTCCCAGCAACCACATAGTGGCTCACAACCATCTGTAATAGGATCCGATGCACTCTTATAGTGTGTGTCTGAAAACAGCTGCAGTGTACTCATATAAATAAAAAATAAATCTTTAAAAAAAAATCCCTGGGAGATGCCATTCACACTATTATTAGCCAGAATTAGCTATATATATACAGTAACTGTAATAATTCAGTCATGGAAAACAGTTTGACAGTTCTTCAAAGGAACTTGCAGTAAGACACAGAAATACCCTATCAAATGCATATCAAGAGGAATGACAATGTGTGTCCGTGCAAAACTGTTTATAAATAATCTCTATACCAGCATTTTCATGAGAGCCAAATGTAGAAATAACTCAGTGCCTGCAACCTGATCAATCGACGGCCACTGTGTTCAGTGGTGGAACTATTGAGAATTGGTTCAGTGGCTTATCTGTTTTCTTTAATGACTTCATGCTAACATTCTGAAAAGAGACAAGTAAAGGAGAAAACTGATGAGCTAGCTGCTGAGACTTGGACATGCCACATGGACATACCTCAGTGAAGGCTTCTGGTCGTTTTGATTTGGTTTCTAATGCAAATCTTAACTCAAATTGCTTCTAGGTAGTATTGTCTCACAAGAATTACATGATTTAAGGAGGTACGTGCGTGCGTGTGTCTGTGTGTATGTCTGTGTGTGCGCGTGCATGCGTGCATGATTTGTTCACTGTTGAATTTAGGGCCTCGTGCATGCTAGAGAAGCATCCTTTACACATAAGGAAACTGATGCAGAAAGGTGAAGTAATTTTCAGATTACCCAACTAACTTTTGAAATCACTGTAACTCCAGAGTCACACTGTCAACCACTAAGTTACATACTACAGCGTTCCTTTCCCTCTGAAGCTTGTCTTCTGCTTTGGGGCTCTGCAGGGGTCCAGATTTTATGGAAATGAGCTCAAGAAGGAAAAGCAAGTCAACCAACGGATTGAAAACATGATGCAACAGAAAGCTCAAATTACCAACCAGCAACTAAGGAAAGCCCAGTTACAGGTATTTATTCAGTTGCTGCGGGGAAGTTGGTAGAATAGTAATTGACAACAGAAATGCAGCACCTTTGAGTCATAATTGTAAACAGGGTGACGTGGAAGTGGGCATTACATTGCTACGCATGCGCGTTCAGCAGGCACGCATGCTCGCTAAGCCTTGCTCCGCACCTTTCCCTGTGCAGAAGAGGAAGTGAAGTCTTGGGTCACTTGTCTGGCTTCAAAGGACAGACAGTTGGCAGGTTTGGGATTTGACCAACCCACAGCATATGTTGTTTTATTGTGTATGTGCTTTGCAGCTAGACAAGGCTGTAAGACAAATATGGCTGATTTGAGGGAGAGGAACTGGGTGGGGACTCTTAACTCTTTATATTAGACTGACCATGTTTTAGTAAAATAAAAACTTATACTAAAAGTTAAATACCAGATATGCATACTTGTTTTTAATGAAATGATTTCTAAACACCTAGAAATTTTTGTGTTCTCCAGAAATTGTGGGAGATGGGGGTGGAGATAAAAATATTCAAAGTTCTCTCAGCTACTAGAAGTCATTTCAGTGGAAAAGTTCTGAAGAAATCAGGGTTCAGGGGACCCTATGGAAGACTGACAGCTCAAGGCAATCATGTTTCTGCTGATCAGACTAAAGTTGTAGATGAGTTCATTCTCTGTTAAAGTCTGACTCAGTGTTAACAAGGCACTGGGTACCAGAAAACACTCTACAGGTAAGGAGATGCACATAGAAGGCAAAGTAGTTTTCATATTACCCAGAAGTGAGCATACTAATAAAATTGTTGTATGAATCTAACATGCTACAAAATCTTTATCTTACAGTGGAGTTCAGAGATCATACACTTTCTTTACTGAACTGTATCATTTTTTATAAACACTTTTCCAGAATATTATTTTAATTTGATGTTGGTAGTGGTGGTGGTAGGTATTTTCTTTTTTGATTGTTTGTTGGTTTGTTTGTTTGCATGTGACAGGATCTCACACTCCAGCCCCGATTGGCCTCAGCCTCCTGATTGTCCTCTTATTTCAACCTCCAGGGTCCTTTGATCACAGGTGTAAGGGACCAAACCCAGTTACAAGATAATTTTCAAGTGACTGCTAGTCTCACAAAAGATGACCCGTGTGTTGGATCAGTCATCATTTTTGCCACTTCATAGCATTCCACTGTGTAGAGACACCCTAATGCTTACATTACCCGACCTTGGCTCCTGTCTTTATTTTATATGTACCTGTGTTGATAGTCTTCTGTCTTTGTACACTGGTACAGTTAGTTTCATTGAAAATTATATTAATTTACATTTTCAATTACGCAAATGTTGCTTTCGTCAAACGCTTCTTTAAAACCAGATTCCATCAGTTTTGTTACTCTTTTCATGCTGGTTTTTAATTGCCTCTTATTGAGGCAGAGAAGAAGCTTTCCTCACATGGCACTCACCCTCTCATTATGAGGGGGTTCTTTTATTCTGTTTGTTATGAGACAGGTTAAGTGGGTGGGATAAGAAAACCGAAGTAACAGTTTCTTCTTATATAATAAGAAGTAATCGCTTGTTACATTACTGTTCTGTGGAGAGAGGAACAAACATACATTCACCCAAGATAGGTACTGATGACAGACTAAAGAAACAATCCCATAAAAGTCTGGACTGGTGAGCCAGTGAGGGAGAAAGGATGGGGTTGCCTATGGGAGGATGAGTGACGTTGCAGTCCATCAGGGGTGATGGCCTAAGTTGGGATAGATGGAGTCCCTCCTTCCTTCAGCTAACCTTCTGTAGCTTCATGTAGTTAGCACCTCCCCTGACCATGTGCCTCCGGGCAGGAGTGTATACAGACGGGGACGGGTGCACAGGAAGGATCGAATGCTTGTGGTCTAGAGTGAGGTCCAGCTACCCTTTCTTCACTCTTCGTGGGAGGGCATGTCAATAGGATGGATCTCCTGAGGGTCCCTTGCCTGTATTCATAGTTGTTCTGATTTCAGGATGATATTAGCTACGCCGTGCCTACAGTTCCATGCCATCCTTGGCTCTGATTACCATAGTAATTTCTGACACAAATTTTTCTTAAATCACACTATTCTGTTATCTCCTGGTGTTATAATTACTGGTCTGACAAAAGTAATTCATATTCCATTTCCTGGTGAGGAGGATGTAGTGTGGGGGAGGAAGGATTAAAAGCCAATAATCTGCTGTTAAACAAGTGAGAAAGAAGTTGTAAACAATATTTAAACTCACATTCTTTTGGCAGCAAGTCAAGTTACAGGGCCACACATGACTGCAAGAGAAGCTATAAAATATGCTGTCTAGCTGGGTGGCCATCTGCCCAGCCTTTCTGTTTAATGGGAAGAATGGGGAGATATATTTGGAGGTCCAGCTAGCAGTCCAATGTTGTCTCTTTCTATATTTCTAGATTTTATTATCAATTTTTCTTCTTTTATGAGATCTTATATATTAAGGATTTTTCTTACCATATATCCTAAATGTGTTTTCAATCCATCTTTTAATTTTGATCACATACTTTAGAAGCTTATCTAATCAAACCCAATGCTGTTCTTTTTGAGATGTTTGTTTTAGGTTCATAGAAAAACTGCACAGAAAGTAAGATCTCTTTGCCCTTGCATGGGCTAGCCTCTAGCCAGCTCTCCCTACCCTCACTTAGAGTAGCCTCTAGCCAAGCACTTTCTCCCAGAAGTGTGCTACACTTGCTGCAATTAATGTGCCTACTATGGCATGTCTTTAGCATGCAAAATCAATAATTTATTATTAATGTTTTATGCTTTAAAGGTATAGATAAGCTTATAGTGGTATATATTCACCATTAAACAGTACCAATAACTCCATTACAATATGAGTTATTGCCCTAAAGTCCTTTGTGACCTATTTGTCCATCCTTCTCTCCTGCTCATGGTGAGCACTGATCTATTCACTCTGTCAGGTCCCACCCTGGCCAGCATTGGAATCACAGTACACAGCCTTTCCAGACTAGCTTCTTTCACTTACTAATATATGCTGAAAATAGCTGAGAATACTTTATGTTGTTTATGGCTTGATAGCTCACTGTTTTCATGTGCTAAATGTTATTCTTTTTTTTCTCTTTTTTTTTTTTTTTTTTTGGCTTTTCGAGACAGGGTTTCTCTGTGTAGCTCTGGCTGTCCTGGAACTCACTCTGTAGACCATGCTGGCCTCAAACTCAGAAATCTGCCTGCCTCTGCCTCCCAAGTGCTGGGATTAAAGGCATGTGCCACCACTGCCCGGCTAAATGTTATTCTTTATCCAGTTGTCTAACAGTTTATCCATTTACCTACTGGAGAACATTGTGTTTGCTTCCAAGTTCTGCCAATTATGCGTAAGCTGCTTACAGATACCCATGCGCTCCTTTATGTGTGGGCATAAGTTTTCAACTCCAGTTAGTAAATGCAAAGGAATATAATTTGCTGGGTCATGTGATTTTAAAAAAATGAACTTTTTTTTTTTTTTTGGTTTGGTTTTTCGAGACAGGGTTTCTCTGTGTAGCCCTGGCTGTCCTGGAACTCACTCTGTAGACCAGGCTAGCCTCGAACTCTCGAACTCAGAAATCCACCTGCCTCTGCCTCCCAAGTGCTGGGATTAAAGAAAAGTTCACTATTTTATAAGAAACTGCCAAACTGTCTTCCAAGATGTCCATACCGTTTGACATTCTCATTGTGAAGGATGAGGGACCCTGTTGCTGTTTGTCTGACCAGTCTTTGAAGTTGTTAGTGTTCTCAGTTCGGGCCATCCTGAGATGTGCAGGATAATGGCGTTACATCATTTTACACTGGATGTCTTCATTGGCATAGAGTGAGGAGTCACATTTCATATGTTAGATGTCGTGTATAAATCTCCAGTGAGGTGTCTTTTAAGGCCTTATGCTTAGTTTTACATCAGATTGAGGGGTTTGGTTTTGGTTTCTATTTATTGAATTTGAAGACTCCTTTGTGTGTTTTGGGTATCAGTCATATACTGGCTCTGATTTTGCAAATATTTTCTTTTAGTTTAACTTATCTTTTGACTCCCTTGATGGTAACTTTCACTAAGCAAACATACAAAATATGTTTTAGTTGAAATGTGAAGGATATTTTTCCAAGGTTAAAAAATTGTATTCTGTTGAAAACAGTGCTGTCTTTAAATTTACCTGATTCTGTAAACAATTTGCTTTCTGGACTTGCTAGGTTTTATTGGTCTGTAATCTACAAATATCTTCAGTAGAAGCTTTACAGACACAGAGGACCATAGCTGGTGTGTTGTTCTGACTTTTGGGAGTTCGTACGAATTTTGCAGCTTAACCTGCTGATAACCTGAAGGAATAGAAAGTGCCTTCCATTGAACAGAAGAATTTCAGATTTTGTTCCAGTTGTATCAAGTGTTTGATGGAACCCTTGCTGGCATCTCTCAGAACAGGAGTGGTAGGAAATGTGTTTTATGTTGATTATTTAATTGTTTCATTTGTTGAACTTCCTCTAAAAGAAGCTGTGTGCATGGGAGGAGGCGGAGGAAGTCCCAAGGAGACAAGAAGGTCTCAGAGAACAGAGATATTTTCATAGGAAATGTTTCTATTTTGGACTCACATTTTCCACATGCTAGATTTTATTATGTGTGATATGATAGTGTAAATTCCTGCTAGTCAGGTCGAAGTAAGAAGTCTGCATGTATAAGCTAGGTCGTTCATTTGTACCCTCTTTGAATATTCTCTACTGGACCCTACCCTCTTCACACCCCTGGAAGACAGTCATCTGATTGTTGTTATATAAAATATCTTCCAATGAGCTCATAAACTGAATAAACAAGCATCCACATTCTACTAAGTGAAGGCTGCACAGCCAGTCTGTGCATTTCGGCCATTTCAACAACTGCCTTCACTAACTTGGACCAACTCGGTAGACTTTATGGATATACTAAGTCAAAATAAAAAGTAATATTTCCAAATATTGTCCTAAATGTAGTAGAAATTGAAGATTTTAAAAAGAAATTACATTAGTATAGAGTATGGGTATAAACTGTTAAGACTAGAGTTGATCTGAATTTGTCCAGTGTTAAAGACTGTTCAAAGTCTGGTAGCCACATGTGGTATTCACGCCTCTTACCCCAGCACTCAGGAGGCAGGCAGGTCTCCATGAGTTCCTGGCCAGCCTGGTCTACATAGTGGGTTCTAGGACAGCCAGGACTACATAGAGTTTCCAAAACAAACAAAAAGCATCAACAAAGACAAAAACCCAAAGCTTTTGTTGGGAAGGATTATAAGGTAATGAAAGAAAACAAACTTTGAAGTAACCTGTTCCCCAAGTCCACCTCTCCCGTTTGCCAGCTCTCTGACTCAGAACAAATTTCTTAATCTTAGTAAACTTCCCTTTTCTCATTTATAAGACTGATCATTGTAATCTCGGAATTACTTTGACTAGTTAGTGGGTTTATGTGAGAAGCACTTAACATAGTAAATGACATATGCAATAACTGTCCCTTCTACCTTACAATGAGAGGTCTGCAAGAACTTTGTACAAGCATCTCTTCATTCCTTCAGCAACCTCTGCCATTAGTTTATTACGAATAAGGATCACAAGAGAGGGCCAACTTAACCACTGTTGTGTGCCTAATGAGAGGCGTCGCTGAGACCCAGAGCAGAGTCCCTATTTTTAACCCCAGTGACACACGAGTTCTCAGAAGTAACAGGAGGAAGAAGGTAGATGTTACAGCCTCAGAGTAGACTGTGAAAGGCCTTCAGGGGAAAGTGTGATAAATGAACCATGAATGAGAAGTAAAGGGAGAAACGTTGGAAAGCTGAGGCGCTGAACATCTGGATGAGCAGAGCGTTCAGTCAGGACGGGTGGGTGACTAAGGAGATAGTAAAGGGAGGTGGAAGGGATGAGTCACACTGAGACTTCCTCTGGGCAGCTGCAGGCTTGCATCAAGTACAAATGAGAAGTTCTCAGAGGAGACTGTCACAGCGATAAGTTATGAGCGGGAGGAGTTTTCCCTCGTGGTTTGCTTTCCATTTATCTTTTGGTTCTTTATATTATTCCAGGCCAAAATATTTCAGATGCCACTCCCTTATTCTTACTTCATTCATATTTTAGGCATATTGTAATTATTATAGCTTATCTAATACAATAAGGGCCACAGTGGAAACAAGAAAGAGAACAGTTCTCTGGCACAGAAGACAGAGCTGCAGCTGAGTTCTGTAGGATGCTTGAGTTGACCCGTGAAAGCTGTGGCAGAGCTCAGAGAGGTATTCTAGAGAGGGGCAGCCCAAGAAGACGGAGTCCCTGAGGTCAGTGAGAGCGGCAGGCTGAGCAGGAGTGGCCTGTGTACACTGGTGTCTGCTACAGGCAGGATTCGGGGGCCTTGTTTCTAAGAGAAGAACTGCAGTTTTAGGCTCCAGCTAGTGAGTGGCTAGTGTGTCTGTTCTAAGACCATGAAACAAGTATTCTGTAAGTGAGGGCAAGGCTGGAGACGGCTTGGGCTTGGGGGGTGGACAGGCACAGCATACCTTCATGGCTTTCCACATGACATAAGTTGCTTTCATTTAAGAGCTCACTGGTTTCTCCGGGGCTGTTTTCCTCTCTTCTTGGTTGCTATGTTATGCCTCTGTTGATCCTTTCAGTAGTAGATTTCATGTTCTGTATGTGGTGTGCTTGTTTTATAGCTGTCTTCTGTTATGATTTATGTTAATGATCTGGACAACTTCCTTATAGGTTGTCAAAATTAAAACTGTCCCATAGCCCTTTGCAGGGTAATCTGGGAAAGCACATATAGAGCATTAGTAGAGGCAGCCCTACAAACAGTATGGGGTATGGGGATGTTTGCTATGTAAACTTTTCTTTATTTGCCTACTTTATTTCTGTCTATGTTCATTTCTCTTTTTTCTTTCAATCCAATAATTTTTCTCCAAAGAAGCAAAAAAAATTTTTAAAGTTTACAATTCTGCACTGTTGTATTTGACATGTATATTAAAGTTTTAATGAAAAACAAGCCACATCTTCAATTTTTAAATGGTATTTGTATAGAATAACAATTTCTGATATTAGCTCTTGTCCTGGCTAGTTTTATGTCAACCTAACACAAGCTAGAATCAGGGAAAAGAGACTCAACTAAGAGAACGCCTCCGTAAGATCAAGATGTAGTCAAGCCTGGAGGGCATTTTCTGAATTAGTGATTGACATGGGAGGGCCCAGCCCATTGTGGGTGGCGCCACTCCTAGGCTGGTGGCCTGGATTCTAGAAACCAAGTGGGCTGAGCAAACCATGAGAAGCTAGCCAGTAAGCAGCACCCTCCATGGCCTATGTCAGCCCCTGCCTCCAGGGTCCCTGACCTGTGTGAGTTCCTGCTCTGACTGCTCTCAATGATGCTGGAACTGTGAGTGAAATAAACCCCGTCTCCCCAAGCTTCTTTCCTTCATGGTGTCTCGCCACAGCAATAGAAACCCTAACCAAGACAGCCCTGCAAATATAGTTTTACAGAGGAATATTTACTTTGTACTTGAGCATGTTCGCTTGTACATTATGCAGCATTCCGCATGCGCCAGAGGTATAATCTCTTATTGTACATTTCCTTTGTTCGGTTTTAAGACTTTAACAATTTGAGTCAAATGGGAATTGTTTAATTTGCCTAAATCGAAACTTTCCGTTATAATAAGTTTCTTCAAATTAGTTCAGCAGAAGCATCATTTGATGGGGGTAACTGGGATAGCTCATTTCTTCATTAAATACTTGGTAAGTTCCTGCTATATTCCTGGAAGAATAGAAAGAAGAATCACTAGGAACTTATATTTGAAAATAGGCTATCAGAGGGCTCAGTGGGTAAGGCACTTGCTGTGTAAGCAGGAGGACCTGTGTTTGGGCCCCAGCACCATGTGAAAGTTGGGTATGGCATCCTGTGTGTAAGCCCAGCACTGGGCGGGGTCCCAGGAGCTCAGTGGCCAGCCCGCACAACCAAAACAGCAAGTTCTAAGTTCACTGAGGAATCCTCTTTCAAAAGATAAGGGGAAAGCAACAGAGGAAGAGACCCAAGGCACTGTGGCCCGAGCACACATGCGTAGGCAAGCATTCACAATTACACACAAATTCAAAAGACAGTGACTAAGAATAGGCTGTCATTGTGAGAAACAAAAGCAGTTACTAACCTTAATAATAAACAGTAAACTACTTACCTATGGATATAAGAAAATATATACCTGATAGGTAAGTAGATGGATGTATGAATGGACGGATAAGTAGATTGGCAGATAGAAAGATACCTTCTGAATTAAAATTAATGATTAATGATGTTTTGATATCATATTGTCTAAAAATATGTTTTAAAACTTAAGGTTGACAGACTTGCAATGGAGTTAGAACGGAACCGGGATTTGAACAATACCATAGTTCACGTCGACATGGATGCTTTCTATGCAGCTGTAGAAATGAGGGACAATCCGGAACTGAAGGAGAAACCCATCGCCGTAGGATCCATGAGCATGTTGGTAAGTAGGTAAAAATTAAAAACAAGAGAGGAACTGCATAGGATATTCAGGCAAGCCTACTGAGGCTCGCCAGTTTGCTGAGTACTTTTTCACGCGTCCAGGTGGCCTATACAAGCTCAGTTACTGAATCCTGTCAATATAACTGATCATACTAATTTTTATTTCCATTTAGAACAATAACAAAAAAAAACAGAGAAAATGAATAACTGCACCAAAGTACCAAACCTAATAAAACAGCAGAGTAGCATTGTATTCTTCCACTGCAAATTAAATTTTCAGAAGTGTTCTAGAGAGAGTGGAAGAACAGGCAAAGGAAATGTTATGTTTTGAAGGTTTGCACACTGGCTTGCAGACCAAGTCTGGCCTGTCATCACTTTTTGTAAAGAAACTTTGTTAGGACAAAGGGCTGTGGCACTTACTTATTACTGTCACATTCAAGGAACACAACCGAATAGAGTTGAATAATTGCTAACAAAACACATGTGCAAAACCTCCTGCAATTATGTGTCTCAGAGCTTTACAGAAAGTGTTGCCAGCCCCTATTCTACAATAACATAGTTTGTTAATATATTTAAAGTATAATTAATTTTTTCCACAACTCAGAATCATTTGTCTTTCTGACCACTAAGTTGCCTTTTCTTTTGGCTGTCTTAAATCAAAGCGAAGGGAACAGGAGCCGTGCCTGTGGCTGAAAACGTATTCACTAACAGGAGGCATCTGTCTACAGCCTCAGCACTCAGAAATACACCACATGTCGTCTGAAAGCAGCCGCCAGGATAGATAGGTATTAGTATCACGAAAACACTAGAGAAGCAAGGGGACTTGCTCCTCGTGGCAGCCTCCTTCCAATGCCTAGATAACTGTAACCTGTGGCCTACAATTTCTTTATTATGTGCCTGTAATCCATCATGGGCATGCAGGCAACTAGCGATCCGCTCCTAAAACAATGCTTGTTGAAGTGTATTCCCCTTTCCTATAAACCAATGCATTCTAAAAGGAAACCAATAATGCATATATGTATATGTGCATAATTACATACATTCTGTAGCCATGTTTGAGCTAAACTGGGTGCTTTTGAAACCCTCACATATTTTCTTCCCAACCTAAAAATTAAACTTGAAGTTCAAAATTGTTATTTTTCTGTGCTGAACTGACAGTTTTCCCTTCTGAAGACAGTTGAAGTTAATTGGTTTTTTTTTTTAAGTAAACTCATAAAAAAAGTTTATCTACACGTTAGCAGAAGCGATGCTATGTGTTAGATTGTCCCAGTCTGCTACTCATAGGATGCTTTGGTGAATTTGGTGGAGTTTTTTAATTTTTTGAGTTGACACTGAGAATCAGCACTTCTTCCCCATAGCAGCATCCAGGGCTGCATAAGCCACCTCTTCTTTTTTCACAGACAACTCTGTTTTTCCTCCTAATTCTTCAGTTTATACAAAGATCAGTAGAGAAAAACAGAGTTGTCTCTGTTTTCTGGGATCTGGGACATGAGAAATCCAAGATGGATTCACTGAGGTCGAGCGTTTCCACGGTGGTGATTAGAATGGCCTCCGCCTCACACTTCCTTGTCTCTGTGTGGTGCCCAGACACTAAGTGCTGTAATTTTCCCTTTTAACATGCTCTGAGTACTTTATAGTAGTTGCAGAGCCGTAAACATCAAAAGTGGAAGCTGCAAGCTCTTCAGACTGAGGCTGCAGGACCTACAGCTTCATCTTCTTCTCCTTCCTGTAGTTTAAGTCACTGGGCAGGTCGCCGGGCAAGAACTACGCTCTGCCTTCTGATAAAAGTTAAGTGTAAAAGTATTGTGGCTGCTATTGGCAACGTACTTACAAACCCAAGATGAGAGGGACTCACACCTTGTAAAACTGGTTCTTCATTAGATCTAGCTTTCCTGTCAGTGTCATCAGATTTACTTAGAATTAATAAATTGTTACTTTATGTATAGGAGAGTTTTGCCTGCACATATGTCTATATTACTAAATGCATCTGGTGGCTGGTGACTCCAGAAGCCAAAAGAGAGCACTGGCTCCCCTGCAAATGGAGTAACCATGGTTGTGGGCCATGGTGTGGGTTCATGGTATGGGAACTGACCCCAGATCCTCTGCATGAGCAGCCAGTTCTTACTCTGAGGCACTGAGCTGTCTCTCAAGACTTACTTAATTTTAAAGCATTGCCTGGCCTCTCTAGTGCCATCTGCACTTTCTCTTCCAGAGCACAGAGCAGGGATCAAGATAGTTTGAAATACTGTCAAGATTTTTGTAATGTCTTTTCACGATGATTAAAGGAAATCTGATACTTTTTTTTCTGAAATAATTCTGTCATATGATATGTGGCCTGCATTTCTCTAGCACTCACTTAGATTCCAGATAAAGGCTCCATTCATTATTACACTTTGCTGTAGGTGACATTAGGGTCCTGCACTTGACCGGGTCCACTGGCAGACACCGTCATGAGCAGGATTTACAAAATACTCTTGTGTTTTCATTCTCAGACTTTTTAGTCTCATGTCCTAGCCAAAGTGTTTTTGAAAAAAAAAATCAAACCTTAAAAAATAAAACTCAGTTTTGAAGTCCTTTTTAATTTTTTAAGCCCTTCATTTTAGAGACATATATTGCTGATCAGATTTTAGGCCTTTAAGTTTTTGTTCTGATAAAAAAAATTTCCCAGATAGGAAATGTGTGCTGCAGCTTGAGGATCTCCAATACAAGACACGTGAAATACACTTCTAAAAATTCTGTATCTGGGCCTTCACCTGCGTGCACACGGATACACATGAGTGCACATGAATACATGTGCATATATGTACACAGACACAACATGGGTTTGGATTTTGGAACATTTTTTATTTCAGACTTCCCAATTAAGGATGGTTAACTGAAAAAAAATCTATATAAACATTCCCAAATATAAAAATTTAAATGTGAAATACTTCTGGTCCCAAACAATTTAAACATGCTCTCCTTATATTGTTCTATGCTAATACTTGCTATACATGCTACTTTGTGTAATATGTGTACTATTGATATTTTCTTATTACTTTATAACTGTTCTATTTTATTTACTGGTAGTTTCCACTATCACCCAGGTTTAGATAGATATGATATTACATATGTACTAGTCAGGGTTATACCATATATATATAATATATATTATATGTATTATATGTATATATGTTTATACTGAAGCTTAATTACTAGAAATATTTTTTAATTATTTAAAGCCATTATTTGCTGTGTAGAACTGGATGACCGTGAACCTCAAACTAATAGTTCTCCTTCCTTAGACTCCTAATAGCTGGAATTACAGATCCACATCCACTTTGAAGAATTTTTCATTGTCCTGCTTATTACCTGGTATCATGCTATAAATTTAGAAGTAATACTGAGACAGGGTCATGGTTTTTAAGAAAGTCAAGATGTGGTTCAAGACAGTGGCTTATAAAAGAAATGCCCTTGAATTGAAAATGCACATCAGTAATGTGTGTCTTATGAATGCACTGATCGATATGTCCATTTAGGGTTGTTTATTTTCCCCTATGGGATCCATTTTCTTTCAGTCTACTTCAAATTACCATGCAAGGAGGTTCGGTGTCCGTGCAGCCATGCCAGGATTTATTGCTAAGAGGCTCTGCCCACAGCTTATTATAGTGCCCCCAAACTTTGACAAATACAGAGCTGTGAGTAAGGAGGTAAGTGGACGTCTCACCCCAAGCCCTTTTACTGCCTTTCTGTCACCTGAACAGCTCCAAATGCCTGTCAAGGTTTGGTCTCACCTATAGTGAATGGTGAGCTGTGTACAATATGCAGAACACACCGCTCTGTTTCCCTTTGGTCTCCCCTATAGGGAATGGTGAGCTGTGTACTGTATGCAGAACACGCCATTGTATTTCCCGTTGGTCTCACCTATAGTGAATGCAGAACTGTGTATAGTGTGCAGAACACACCGCTCTGTTTCCCTAATTATGGTCTCATTTATAATGAATGTTGAGCTTGTACAGTTTACAGAACATAGCACTCTTTTTGCCAACCCTTTGCCTTCCATGTAGTTTTCATCTACTCTCAATCTGCCAAATCTTTCAAAACTTTGAATAGCCTTAATAATTATAACACAAAGTCAATTTTCAATATTTCTCTCCATGAAAATTTTTCTAAAACAATCTAATATTTCTAATATATAGAACCTATAGATTCATCATTAATAACTTCAATCTATTCTAAATAAATGTATTATTATTTTTGTTGTTTGTTTTATTCCAGGCTAGCCTGGAACTCACTGTGTAGCTCAGGCTAACCTTAAACTCTTGAGTGCTAGGGTTGCAGGCATGGATCCCCAAGCCTCTCTCTGTGCTTCGAAATAGTAACAAAATCCCCTTAGTTTCATTAGTTGCTTTGCTTGCTTCATAATCTTTCCCAGGTACTTGACCATGTAATGCAAGTAGACTTTAAGGAAAAGGGATGTCCCCTTACTTTGAAAAGAGTAGAGTTCAGAGGTTTGTTTACTTAGTAAAATTCTGAACTATCTATGTGAAAAGGTATCATTCTTCTATTTTCATTAAATCTGATTTGTCATACAGTACAGGGACTTAAATCCTGAGTTAAAATCAAGTGTGTGTGACTTTTAGACCGCTGTTATAAAATGGAAATGGCCAGAGACTGCTGTCTGAGGATGGCACTGTGGAGGCCAGCTTCGACTACTTAAGTCATTTGGAGGCCAGCCTGAGCTATATGAGACCGAATTTCAAAGAAAAAAGGAGGAGGAGGAGGCAGCATCTATCTTGATATAAAGATATATTTTTATTAATTTTTAATTGCATGTTATATTTATGCCTGTTTGTGGTAGGCATGCATGTGCAATTGTCTATGACGTCAGTAGATTTCCTGGAGTTAGACCGAGAGATGACTGTGAGACACCTGAGACAGGGCCAGGAGCTGAACTCTGGAGCTCTGAAAGAGCAGCGCGTGCTCTTAATTGCTGAGCCATCTCTGTAGCCCTGGCATGACACTCGCTACCATTCAGACATGCAAGGGAGCTTTAAATTCATTCATTTTATTCTACCTTATTTTCCCTAGAAATATCACCCCTATATCAAAACAGTTTTATTAATTTTATTAATATCAAAACAGTCTGTTAAATCAATTGCTTTATGCCTACTTTTGAAAAAGTGGTAGGCAAAGGGAACACAATTTTGATAGTTATTTTTTCTGTATTTATAGTTAAAATAAATAAACTATTAAGTACAGATTTTAAAAAAATCTTATAAAGACTTTGTAAGAAAAAAATCTTGACTCCTACACAGTAAAATTTCTAATGGTATGACCATGAGTGCAAAGTTATATTCAGTTGTCTGTCATCTGGTTATTTATGTAAGTTAGAAAAAAACCTTCAAATTTGAGCAATGTCTATCTAGTTAATATATCAGCTGAGTGTTACATGTAAATGCAGTATTAATGTTTCTGGCCTGGCTAGTGAGTTTAAGGATCATCCATTTCTGTTTTGTCCAAGCATTAGGATAACTTTTCTGTTCTTAGAGCTAAGTGCTTGGTGTTTCGGAGAGCGGTCTATTTTAGTTCTTGTGGCAGTGATCCATGGACGGGGGGTGGGGGTGGGGGGTGGGGGGGGGTGAGAGGTACTGAGCCACTCCTCCAGGGAGCAGCTCTCATTCAGTCTTGGTGACCTACAGGTACAGACTTTCCAGAATGTCACTTTCACTAGAAAGATACTGTTTGCATCTGTTGCAGAGTGGTTTCCTCTGCCAGAACAAAGCTATGCAAGGCACTCTGAAGAAGGGTATGCTGATGCACATCACCATTTTCCTAATTCCCCCTTAGTTGTTCGTCATTGTGTTAAGATAGAACAGAGTTATTTTTATATAAAACAAAAAGTTTTCTAGTGATATGGCAGCTTTTACACTTTAGATGAAGAGCAATTCAGCAAAGACCTTTTCTATGGTATAGGTTATTTTGGCAACCATTCCCTCTTATTTCCACTAATTCTTTGATAGTTAAGACAAACAGTAAACCACTCCTCCGTGCTCTCATGTAATAACGCTATTCCATGTGAAAGGCATTTCTGAATTGTATTACCTGTGTATCTAATCTTTGTATATGTCTTTCATGTCACGATGCAACTCCAGACTTCATCTATCAGTTAATGTAAACATGCAATTATACTATAGATATAGCATCTTTCCCAGTCCCGATTACTGTAAATTGTAGCTTTATTTTCTATGAGTACTGTTCATATTGTTATAATTAACTGAAATGTACTGTTCTCTAAAATATGATGGTACTTTACATTCCTATTTCAAATGAATAAGAATCTTCACAAACGAAATGAGGGAGAGCACTGTCCTGCCCACTCCTCCTGACTGCAACTTTAAACCTCATTTTTTTTCTTTTCCTACCAGAATACTGTCTGAGATTTATTTGGCTTGCTTGTGTTTCTAGATATAGGATGCTGGGATTCAGGTTGCCTCAGATAAAGCTATTTCGTGGTCTTCTGCTTTTGTGTTCTATTTTAATGCAAAAGAGAATTTGACAAACATCCACTGGTAGTAAATTATTTATTCCTTAAATCCGTGAGCTATTGATTGCAGGATCATTAATATAGTTGCAAAGTAAGAATATTCGTGCTTCTTTTCAGATATGTAAGACAGGAGGTTTTGCTGTGGCAGCAAAATTTAAACTTCTTGTTGTTGTTGTTCTTTTTTGAAGGTTAAAGAGATACTTGCTGAATATGATCCCAATTTTATGGCCATGAGTCTGGACGAAGCCTACTTGAATATAACACAGCACTTACAGGAAAGGCAAGATTGGCCTGAGGACAAAAGAAGATTTTTCATCAAAATGGAAAACTGTAGAAAAATTGGTAAGCAATGCATTAAAACTACCAACTAAAAGCTAACAGGAAGCAGCTCTTTGAACTAACCCAACTCATAATTCATATAGTAAGATTACATTCATCTTTGTAAAAATGAAAAGCCAGAAACTTAAAGTATACCAATGGGTTTTTTAATTAAATATATGCAATCTCTTTTAAAATCAGATGAAAATATTAAATCTCCATATTTTAAGAATTTATAGACTTCTTCAGAGTATTTGCAAAACAGTTATTTTCTTAATATCAAAGCATTTAGATTACACTGAAGTAAAGGAAGCTCTCTGTTTAAAGTGGCTTTTGTTGTTATTGTTATTGTTGATAGGAATCAGGGTTTTTAGAAGTTTAGCCCTAAACACACCAAAACCTTTGGTGATCTTATTGTTCTTTGTTCCCCAGGTTTTCTATAATCTAGTTCTAATACAATAGTGTGGCTGTTTTCAACCCTGCAAACATTCATGAACTCCTCTCCTTTCTTCACCATAGACCTTGCTGTGACACGTGGGGAAGGGCAGCGGTAGACCTGGATGTCTTCCTCTGTCAGTCTTATTTATGCTGGTATTGTAGATCTGACCTCAGGTCCTCAAGCTGGCATGGCAAGTGCTTTACCTGCAAAGGCATCTCCCCAGACCCTCATGATCCTTCTACACAAGCAAAGGATTCGAGACCCCACAGACTTGTATTATTTATCCAAAGCGATGCCATGAAACATTCAGATGTTGCACATTCTCCCTCCAGTCCCTTTGCCAAGAGGGCTATTTCTTCACATGTCTGACCTGTCTTGAATCCGCGAACAAAGTTTACTCAGCTGAAAAGGTGACCCAAAAGGGATTCAGTCACAAACCACAGCCACATTTCATTTGCGTAACTTATTCACAACATCAGAGGGGCTAGTCAGTGGTGGGCAAACAGGCTAGCAACATCCTTGAAAAAAATGGTAGGTGTATAATGGAATCCAATTTTTTCCTTTTTTGTTTGTTTTTGGTTTTTTCCTTTTGTTTTTTGCTTTGTTTTGTTTTTTTGAGACAGGGTTTTTCTACAAAGCCCTCAGCCCTACCTATCCTGGAACTCACTGTGTAGACCAGGCTGGCCTCAAACTCTGAGATTAATTAAAGGCTTGCACTGCCACAGCCATCAGATTCTAAACTTCACACTGTTAGAAGCTCGCCTTGTTTGCAGCAAGTTTATATGGACATCAAATCAAAGCCTCATTACCTTATTTCCTAGGGGGTTGGTCTCTCTTTTTTCTTTGATGGAAACATCAAAAAAAAAAAAGAATAATAGTTTCTGGACACGGAAGCTTGGAACAACAACAAAAAGACTTTGCTCTTTCGGTGTAACCTTATTGTTTGGGCATTAGCGGCATAAAGTCTGATGCCTATTCTGTTAGTTTCTTAGCATTTATGAGACAGGAGAGGAGGGAAATCACTGATTGATTTCAAGCACCCCCTTAACAGTTCCTCTTGCCTTGTGTTTAAAAATGCTTTAGGCTTAAGGTAAGTGACTTACTCTCTGCTGATGCTCCTTTCAGTGTCCAGGCTGATGATGATGAAGTGACATCATATCAGTTTGCTCATTTACACAGTGTTCTGTTTCATATTCTTGAGCAAATGAAATGGCTTAACTTTTGTTTCTTATACATAACTCCCTGTGGGCTGAACTCTTATGACTAGCAAACCTTGTATTTTCAGGGTATTGCAAGTGACAGGTGATTGATGGATCTTTCTTTAAAGTCGGACATCTTCCTCTTTGTCCTTTTATAAAAGATTCTTGGTCTCTAGAAATAGGTGGTGAACTATTGCCTTTATTTTCAAATAAAATATTAAGCATTGTTTTATTTCTGCTTTGCCATACAAATCTAGCTGGCAAGTGTCAGACTGTGCAGGAAACTCAAACGCTACATACTTGAGTACTTGGAATCCACATAGAGTGGTTTTGTTGCTCTAGTTGCTTCAGTAATGGAGAGTGTGAAGGAGTTTTATTCAGGAAGAAGAAGCACTTCAGCAGCTGGCTACATAGCCAGGCCACACAGAAGTAAAGTACAGCTGGGTTGAAAAGATGCCTGTGTTGCTCTGCAGCAGCTCTGACGGTTTCTGACCAGAAACAGCATCTTTGCTTCCTGACATAGAGAGCACCAGTGCGAGTCACTGCAGAGGGGGCTCGGGAACCTGACCAGGTTGCACTGCCCTGCATTCCCTCTATAGCCCTTTACCTTGACTTCTGTTCAGCCGATTGGAGGAAGGGCTTCTGGGTGTCCTTCATTTCAGGTGACCCATCCTCTTACTTCTCTCCAAGTTGCTCTAAAGTTTAAAAATCAGAATGTGAAAATGGGAATGGCCTGAAGCACAGATGCAGTGAGAATAAGTTGTACTGAGTGTGGCCAGCTTATTCAGATTTGGGGATTTCTACCTATAAAGCAACTCACATGCCATAACTAAAGGTCGAAACTAATCAAGTATACTGTTACATTATTTACATATCTTTAAACATTTCCTTCCTTCCTTCCTTCCTTCCTTCCTTCCTTCCTTCCTTCCTTCCTAAAGAGACAGCTCTGGCTATCCTGGAACTCACAGAAACCTGACTGCCTCTGCCTCCCAAGAGCTGGGCTTAAAGGTGTGTGCCATCACCCAGCTTTCTTTAGACATTTTCTAAAGCTAAGTTCATTTTTCAAGTAAAGTGCTTTCAACTGCATCTGGAAACTTAATTTAAGAAATTGAAGCTCAATACATTTTCATACCTATAATCTCAGCACTCTGAAGACTGAAACAATAGAATTAGGAGTTCAAGACCAGCTTGGTCAGGGTGCATAGTTAATGTGAGGCTAACCTAAGCTTTAAAAAAAAAATGTAACTGTTGCTTCTGTATTTACCTTGATTTGAGAAATATACGTGATATGAAATGGGATCAGAAAACTGTGGTTAATCTTATAAATGCATTTAAATTGTTTTTATCCTATTTTAAGCTTTTAGAGAACAGTTTTTAGTGGATTTATTCATAGGAATATGTTTAGTACTGTCATCCTCCTGCCTCACTCTCCCATGTACTGGGTCCTGTGCGCCAGTGTGCCCAACTACTCTACTACTACTGCTTCTACTTCTTGTTCTTCCTCTTTTTTTTAATCAAAGCTAAAGACCGATCCCAGGGCCTTGCTCATGCGAGGCAAGTGCTCTACCACTGAGCTAACTCCCCAGCCCCGCTACTCTCCTTCTTAACAGTAACATTTTCCAGTGTATTGATGATTACACCTTTCGCCTTAAATTTTGACCTTCATTAGTTGGATCAGACTCTTAAGTATTTGTATAAAGAACTTCTGCTTTCAGGAATAATTTCATTTATAGCAAAGGCACGCTCAATGAAAGTCATATTTTATTAACAAGAAAGTTAAAAGTGAAATCAGCATTTGAAAAGAAACATTTGAGAGTATTTTAATATCTTTAAAGCTTCTTCCATGAATAAAGAAGTTTTTTTTCTCTTCCAAAGCAAAGTTTAATTTTGGTTGCAATTATTTCTACTGTTTAATGCCTTTTCTCCTCATTCCTAACTCTAGCTTAAGAAGATTCTTTTTCTCCTTATAGAAAAATAAAGTGAAAAATATCTCCTTTCATAAAGAAAACATAATGGACATCATAAGTTAATGAGTTTCAACTAAAATATTTCCTTTAAAACATGGACTAAAGAAATGGATGCTGCTCTTTTGAAGGAAAGCCAGACAGCATTTTCTTTATTTATTAAATAGCTGCAAAAGATAATTGGTTATCGTGGTTCCTAGGAAGGAAACTGAACTGCTTTGTCCTCATCGGTGTGGGGGAGAGAGTGGGCACTGATGCCTGTAATTTCACTAGGACAAGCCTTGGGCAACAACTGTCAGGAGTTCAAGGCCAGTGTGGGCTAGGGTAGGCCAGTGTGGGATCCATGGTTGATTGAGGCCAGGGTGGGATCCAGGGTGGGATTCATGGTGGATTGAGGCCAGGGTGGGATCCATGGTGGATTGAGGCCAGAGTGGGATCCATGGTGGATTGAGGCCAGAGTGGGATCCATGGTGGATTGAGGCCAGAGTGGGATCCAGAGTGGGATCCATGGTGGATTGAGGCCAGGGTGGGAT